CTTTACCAAACTATAAGAGCGTTCAACCACACACCGAGCTACAACTCCACACTTGCAGCATCCTGGAGAAGCACAAGCTTCTCCCTTACTTGAATCATTTTCACTCCTGCAGACAAAGGTTCCACAACAAAACATGTATCGACAGTGTTTTCACACACATGTCGCATACCAGGGAATACACAACATTAAACAACTTGGCCGGACGGACCGACCTCCTCTGAAACCAATTGTAACACCCCACTCTAAACTCTCGCGGAAAAAATGATAAACAACAGAAACAATTCAGAGTGCAGCAAATAAAGTTTCATGACGACCGTCATGGATGTCACGACCGCCATGGTCATGACGAGCGTCAGGGAGTGGTGACGACCGTCACACTCCCAAAATATGGGACGCATCAGAGGTGTCACATTTCAACACTTAACCAAAACACATACACCTGCAACAGATCATTTACTAACATACGTAGCACAGATTCGGATGAACAGGCAACGGTAATTTGTTTAACATTTTAATCATATAACGACATGTTATAATACACTCCCAACAATTTATAAACAACTAAATTCCATTAAAATTCAACAAGTAATTATCTTGCATCAATTCACGAAAACAACTATGCAACCAAGCAACATTTGGCATTATCATAAATAACCAATCTATTTGCCATAGTACTTAATAAAATTCAGCAACAAGGAATTCAATTAAAACAATAACATTAATCGTTCATCCCCCCAGAGTGCTACGTATCAGAGCGACCAACGACCTTAAACATAAAGAGACACTTTATTCCGAGTTACCTGCAAATTACCCCTAATGGCGGTAACATACAACGTAAAGGGGTGAGATATCAACAACATAACATAAGGCATGATAAAAGTCATGTTAGAATTATATCACAGCAATTAAGATTCTCGCAGCTTTATAAATATCATAAACAACCACTACACCGATTCATCGCTCATATATATACTACAAAAATCAAGATATCTCATCAACACGCCATCACAGGCAACACAACTCAATGCGACTCTATGCGACTCAACTATGCATATGCATGCGGTACCATTTTGGGAGACAACACTCCACAATTATTCGGGAGACTCACTTCACAATTATCCGGGAGACTCACTACACAATCATCCGGGAGACTCACTCCACAATTATTTTATTTTGTCATTAAAGATACAACCGTCGCCAATCCAGGCCAAATGATATGCTATGAGATGCAACTATTATGGACTATAACCCAACAACAACAACTGTGCAACAACCGTGTAACAAGGCATCAAGCCTACAACCAATTACCCATAACAGAACATCACATTTCGCATATATTATGGACTCACCATTTCCACCTGTTCATATCAGAGAACTACCAATAGCATCGTTCCTACGAATAAGACTCTAACATATTTTCGCAGAGAACAATTAAAAACAACATCATCTCTACAATTGAGAACTCAACAGCATTTCCATATACTTTCATACAGTTAATATAAGTACAACTTCTAATTTAATTAAATAGTGACATAATAACGACATTTTCTTAATAAATGGAAAAATAGCGCGTGTCGGCGCTGTTTCCCAATTTCACACAGAACTAATGACATAACACATTCATTCATACACAGACAAGCATTAAACCTTAATATTTATTAATATAATAACATAAGGACACCAGAACAAACTTCTCAACAAATGGGAAATTAGCGCGTGTCGGTGCCGTTTCCCAATATTACTACACAGAACTAAATGACAAAAACACTAATTCAGACACAGATAAACATTAACCTTTAATATTTATCGACCTACGGGAACTAACCCCATGATTCAATTTCCTACATGAAATTGATCATACCCACGGTTATAGAATTGAACCCCACCCTTACCTTTGGATTGAGTGCAACTCTAAACTTCTGGTTCCCATTTGCTCTCCGGCGACTCTTCTGCAACTGCCGTGAATTCTCTCCGGTGGTTAATTCTCCTCTTCTCAACTTCTCTCGGTCACGATCTCTTTTCCTTTGATTTTGGTTCTGAGCAGTTTAACATGTTTTCTCTTTTCTCCCAAAATCCCCTTTTTATATTTACTCCAATAATAATAACAATAATAATAATAATAATACTATTAATTATTAAATTATCACCAATATTAATTATATTACATTAATATTAAACTCCAATCGTTTTTAAAATAACTCTTAAAGTCTAAGGGCATCCCCCAACGCACTCAGACACACCTCCACACAAGGACACACCAACATAGAAATAACGCCAAAAATACTAAATAGTTAAAAAGGGGTGTTACAATTTAGGCTTGGAAAATTTGGTGGATTGGAATTTGGTTTGGAATCAAAATTAGGTTTGGAATTTGAATTTGGAGAGAAATTCAAGATCAAGTGGTGATTATTGAAGGTGTATGGTGGGAATTAATTATGATGAGGTAGGGGATTTAAAATGAAGTGATCTAGAATATTCTCATGTTGCGAAATTTGAATTTGGTGCCAAAAATGCTGCCGAATTTGAATTTGCCCAATTTTTATAAAATTCGTACAGAGTAACCGGTTACCCAATATCTGGTAACCGGTTACCACAGACAAAAATGGTGAAAATGCCCTTCTTGATGTGTTGTCTTGGCTCTGGCTCGACTCTTTTTCTTGTCAAAGAAGACATGGAAATAAACACATGAACCTTGGAGTCTCTTGAATAAAAGTCAATCAATTATTAGGAAACTCTTGACTATATGATTTGAATTATTTGCGGATCAACTTCGACTTTTTTTAGATGAAATTCGCTCGAGCTGAGAGACTGATATTTGATATCTTTGATCCAAATTCTTCCTGAAAAAAGTTAGTAAAGGAAAAACAAACATTTTTTTTTTTGGATTTTAATTAATGGTTAGTAAACATAAATATAAACAAATATCAAACAAATAGGAAAACATAGGTGCCCGGTGATCTCAAGAATAAACCTACAGAGGAAGTCAAAAGAGAACTGAAGCTTGCAATCTTATTTGTGGGATGAGATGCAAATGACATGTGGGATCTTAGGGTTAAAAATTAGGGTATTACAGCTGCCCCTATTTAAGTTTCTTCTATCCGGAGATATGAAGATTGACATCTTTGTCTCGACCAGATTGAAGAGACTTAAATATAACAAATAAACCCAATTTTTGGCCCTAAGAGGCCACAAAATGACATTACTATGCTAAATGGTATGGTATGCAAACACAAGACCTCTGTGGTGAAAAAAGAGGCAATAAGCTCAAAAGGTGAAGAAACATTACCGGATACCCGTCACTAGGTAGAAAAATATGGGTAATGAACTTACAAGGAAAGATTACCGACTACCAGTCACTGGGTAGAAAAATATGTGGGTAACTGACCAAAAAGGAGGAGACAAATGCTACCTACTACCTATCACTAGGTAGAAAATAAAGGCAACAAGCTCGAGAGGAAGGATCACCTTTTACCGGTCAAATGGGTAAAAACAAAGGATAACCAACCAAAAGGGGTGAGAAATATTACCTGCTACCTGTCAATGGGTAGAAAAATAAAGGAAATATACTCAAAAGACACTACTACAAAAAAGCTTTATAATAGCGCTTTTTTTGCTTTTTGATAGCGCTTAAAAGCGCTATTAATCAAGCTGCTATTGTAAAACAAAATTTTTAATAGCGCTTTAAAAGTGCTATTATAGTACCGGTATTTAATAGCGTTTTTTCAAAACCGCTATTATAAGGCACATATTTGATAGCACTTTCAAACAAAGCGCTATTATAGTACCGGTAATTTGCTTTAATTTTGATAGCACTTTCAAACAAAGCGCTATTATAAGACACATATTTAATAGCGCTTTCAAACAAAGCGCTATTATAAGACACATATTTAATAGAACTTTCAAACAAAGCGCTATTATAAGACACATATTCGATAGCACTTTCAAACAAAGCGCTATTAAAGTACCGCTAATTTGCTTTAATTTTGATAGCCACTACTAGAAATGCTGTATTTAGCCTCAGCCATTTTCCGACACTATAAGGCAAAAAACCGCCGCTACTAGCCAATTAGCCTCGGCGTAGCGTCGGTGTCGGGGATAGGCTAAAACGATCGAAGCTAACATTTAGCCTCGGCCAAAAATTTCCGTGTCTACAGTAGCCTCGGTCTAGCCGTGTCTACTTTAGCCTCGGTTTAGCCGTGTCTACATTAGCCTCGGTGAAGCCGTGTCAAAAAACAAAAAATAGCCTGGGCCAGACCGAGGCTAAAGTCAAATTCCATAAGCCATCATAATATTTAGCCTTGGTCCTGATCGAGGCTAAAGGAACATTTTGCCTCGGTTTATTCGAGGCTAAGTTAAAGTCAACAAAATATTTAACTTTGGCCTAACCGAGGCTAAAATCAAATTGTAAAAGTCAACAAAATTATGCCTGCTTTCCAATTGTATAATCCATAGCAGCATTACTTTCTAATAAAACAGTTCAGTTATCAGATTTGTTAACAACTTGAACAAAATAACCGAGGTTAAGGAAGTATTAAGTGAAAGACCATAAGAGAGAGCCATGCCAATAACTCTATGAAAGATTACTAGAATGTATTAATGTTAAAATAGAACATCAAATCATCACTACAATTCAATTCAGATAATGTGTTCATTACCTGCAAGCGCAGTGCAAAATAAATCATCGGTATGGAGACAAACAAGACTTGCCAAGTAACTACTGCTAAAATAGTTAGACTTGCATAACAAATCGTAGTAGCTACCACAGCAACAAGAATGCCAAATGGAACATCAAGATCAACAATGCTAAGATCATAAGAGACCTAAACAACTAAATAACAGTCAAAACATAAGTATTTGTATTCCCTTTCATTGCGTTAAACTTCGATGAAAAACAAAAAATAAATAATGTTTAGCATGCTAACCCTACTGAGTAAAGAAATTTGAATAAACTTTCATATACCTGCGAAAAATTCAAGAACCCGAGCTTTGAATAACTGAAACTAAGACACCTGAGAGCCAAAGCCGAACTGACTGTTTGACGTTGCATTTGCTAGAAGGATAGTTGAACCTGCTGCTGCAAAGTTGCATCCTCCATGAAAATTCGGTAAACCAACTGAATCCAAATAGGCATTTAAAAATGGAAAGTGCATCGCATCCACTGCAACGATAAACCAAAATCACATCGAATGGAACTATCCGAACACATAATAATTACAACACAATAAGAAACTTTCACGAAAGGATTAGAACTTTACTTAAGAAGTCGACTATGAGAAGACCGTCACAGAATCTCCCATTTCGAGTTTTGAAGTAGTTTCTTCCATTAGGTGGGAGGAGTTGAAAGCCCTTCGCTGCAGTAAGTTCACCAGTGTCTGAGTTTGAATCACCAAAGTTGAAAACTGCCGGATAACTGAACTCAGCAGAATCTACCAAAACCAAACAGATGCAAAATAACACAATTTGCAATGCAACAACATAAGTAGAACCCATGCAACTCAACTTTCACTTGTTATTAAGTGCAATGCAGCAAAATAAATAGCAGTGTGATAAGAGAGTGGTGCCTTTTATGCTTGCTTATGATACACCATGATGGTGTGGTTGCTTCAAGTTGCTAATTTAAACTCTATACATTAAAGAAAGAAAGAAAAAGAAAGGTTGGTTGTGTCGTTTAAGTAAAAGACACGATTTATCTTGCACTTGGATGCACAATTTGCGTGCTTTTTTGTCACGACCTGCATATCCACGAGATCAACAATGCTAAGATCAGAAGAGACCTAAACAACCAAATAACAGTCAAAACATAAGTATTTGTATTCCCTTTCATTGCGTTAAACTTTGATGAAAAACAGAAAATAAATAATGTTTAGCATGCTAACCCTACTGAGTATCCGTCCCAAAGGTGTGGAATCAGAAAACAAATCCATATGATCAACAATGTGGAGGATGGAACCACCTCCATCACAAGGTCTTATCAGGTACCCACTGTGGAATCAGAAAACAAATCCTATCGACAAGTCTGTTTTCCAGAAGTGGTGTCGTAAGTCCCTCTACTCCTTTGCTAAGTGGAACTACTTCTTGCTCTGCTACTCTCACTGCAGCAGCACGAGCTAGATTCCTTTCCAAACTTCGAACACCAGCCTCCCTCGTATATCTCTGAATAACAAGTTGCACCATTGCCTACATCAACAAAGTTGCCAATTAAAGTCATATACAACATAATATTTTCTAATACAACAGCCTGTACAAGAAGTCAAGAAGAGTTTCTATGCAATTATACAGTATGCCTTACACAATTTCCTTAGTATTATTGTGCTATTTTACCATCATGGACAATATAGAAGAGAACACAACACCAGGGTTTACTAAAAAAAAGAATTCTTATGCTCAAATAACACAATGTTTTTAATGTAAAGTTTTGATGATATGTATTTAAACATAATCTACTGCTCTCAGAAAAATCAGTAGGTACAACAACAACCATCTCAGTAACAAAAACACGCAGATCATGATAAACAAATTTACGATATCCAAACAGTGCACATGTTGAGGCACTATATTTTGTACAAGACATTGTTTTTCATAGCTAGATGATCAACCCATACTGCCTAAATACAGACGTAAAACCTTAAATATACAAAGATAGTCCCAAATATTCGATAAATTGGTGCTTGAGCTAGGCTAAGGGAATTGTTTAGAGGGATTTTCCATCTGAAATCATTGTCACTGATTTATTTTATGGAACATGTAGTTCAGTACAGCATAAATTTTCATTAATGTTTACCCTATATTTGGAAGTATATAGCACAGGATGTTGAGAATGCCAACCTGCTGGCGCAGAAGAAATGCTTTTTGAGATTTTGATAGTTGTCCTTCAACTTTTTGTGTAATCTTCCCAGCTACGCGTATTGACTGTTGGCAGTACAGAAAAGTGGGATCAAAAGACAAGTAGTAGGAAACAAACCTCCCAGGAAGCATCATTCACTATATTACTTACTGTAAGTGCCTATCAACCAATTCAGTTGCTTTAGAAAGCCTCTCTTTAGCATCAACAGAATCCAACTTGTGAACAGGAACAGTCTCCAAAAGAACTCTGGTCCTTCCACCGGTACTTTGTTTTTACAAATAAGAAAAACAGTAGCTATTAATTCTCAGCAGAAACTGTGAAAAACCCAAAATATTGATGAATTAAGGACAACTTTGGACTGTTTATTTGTTGCAATAGAAGAAAAAAGAAGTGAAAAAATGAACTAGATCTGCTGAAACCACACATACAAAGTTTCAACCAAAGTTCCACAAGAGTAATCATAGTCTTGCAAATCAACTGGAACTTCAGGGCCCTTAAAGTATCTTGAAACCACATAGACAACATATATAACAGAAGGTGTACATTCTTCCAATCAATCATTCTACTCCAATATAAGCATTATGAATTTCCTTTAGTTCCATCACCAATTATTTAGCAGCAACTTCCCTAATCGATTCAGTCGTCATCGCTAGTACCGTAAATGCAACATAGTCGAACAAGCAATTTCAAGTAGCAGTCAATTGCATATGTGTGTCCATCATAATTCCATTTAACGAAAGGCCGACAAACTTCGACCATTTCTAATGAAGTTAATGTCCAGTTTTATGCACCATAACTAGTTCCTTGTGCTAAAGCTCCAATAACATTGCCTTCGAGAAATTGGAAAGTCCTACATCATCCTCAACAGATTTAGAGGCTGCCTCTTCAGCAAATGGACAACTACCCAAGCTAGTGACAAGCTCGTCATCAAATTCCCACTGTTGCCCAGTATTTTCATCCTTGATGTGAGCAATGTAATGACCATTATTAACACTGGTTCCCTTGTGGGAGCTTGCCCTGGTTAGCACTCCAAGTACATATATTTCTTCAGTCAATGAGAGACAATTGGTAGGACCTTCATGCAACCTTTATAGATCATTCTTATAATCATAAATTACTGCACCATATGATTTCTATAGTACAAAGTTCATGATGCACAAAGTTCAAAGGCAGAACTCTTTCGCTTGAAATTTAAAAAGATTAATTTTAATTCACCAATGTAGTAAGTTCTTTTGAAAATGTGTAGTATCAAAGCCAAATAAACGGAACCTCAGGTGATAATTTTTGCATCCTCTTCAACTAGTTTTAGATTTTTTCCAAAATTTAAGTGTAGGAAAAGCTGAAGCTAATCCAACTGTAATTTTTACACTAAATAAGAACTAATATACTAGATGTATGATTCTATACTTAGCACACAGTGAAATCAAAATGGAAATACATTACTCCTTCTCAGCACGTGAAGTTGGAGATTGCAAAATCCCAACCACCAAAGACAAACCCAAAGCTTCTAATACAGCACGAGAACCGTCCACATTCTCTGCCAAAGCTACCAAAACCGCTAAACAATCACTAACAACATAAGATTTCTCCCAAGAATCCAGAACACTAACAATAGCACGAACAACACAAGAAGAAAGAACTTTAGAATGATTCTTAGGAAGTTAATAACAACCCGAAAATCGCATCCACTGCACACTTTTTTCCTCGAATTGTTCCTTTTCTTTATCAATTCCACTAAACCAGAAACCGCCTTTGAACTTTCATGATGGCATAAATTTCACCTATTATTACATAGTTTCCGCCATGACCAGACTACACGGCGGAACTCTTGAAGTACTAAATCTCAACGGATGCTGGAACATTACTGATGCAAGCTTGGCTGCGATTGCAGACAACTGCCTACTGCTCAACGATCTTGATGTATCTAGGTGTGCAATCACCTTAGTTTGCAGGTTCTCTCTATATGCTGGAACATAATGTCCTTAATTAAAGAGTCTTTCAATTTCCTAACTCCTATTGTAACAGGCTGTGGATTCCAAACATATATGATACCCATTCTGTCAAAGCTAAATAAACTAAAGAAACTGCTGTACTAAATAAAATCTACATGATACCCATTCTGTCAAAGCTGTGTCCATGACCAGACAAAAGCTACTATCATATTCTTAATTTGACAATAATACCTCATATCAATACAAAGCAAGGGTAGAAACTAAATTATCTTCAAATTCAAATCCCTAATTTTACAATTTACAACACAAAGCAATAATCTGAGAAAAGAAAGATTATCAGATACCGATGAAGAGAAGGGTGACGGTGGTGAGCTGATGAAGGGCTGAGATCGACGGAGAATGGGTTTTCTTTGTTCTTTCTTTCCTGTGTTTCCTCTTTTTATTCCGGTGACGGTGAATCGATGAAGAAGATGAGTGTGAATCGATGACGAAGATGAGTGACGGCGGTGGTGAATAGATGAAGAAGATGAGTGTGAATCGATGAAGAAGATGAGTGACGGCGGCGGTGAATCGAAGAAGAAATGAGTGACAGTGATGATGTGTTTTCTTTTTTGCATGGGTAGAAAAGATTTTGTGCCACAACGAAAAAAACATATGGGAAAGGATTTGGTCTTTTAATTAATTTTAATAATGCTAACAGTTTAATATTTAAGTGAAATATTTTAGTGGAATATTTTAGTAGCGTTTTTTTTAAAAGCGCTATCTTAATACCTAATGCTAACAAATGATAGCGGTTTCTTTGGAAGCGCTATTGTAGTGAAATATTTTAGTAGCGTTTTTTTGAAAAGCGCTATCGTAGTGAACATAGGATAGTTTGATAATAGCGCTTTTACAAAAGTGCTATTTTAATGCAACATTTTAGTAGTGCTTTATCAAACAGCGCTATCTTAGTGAAGATCTATAATAGCGCTTTTTTACAAAGTGCTATCAAAATCATATTTTCTGTACTCTATAATAGCGTTTTACTATAAAACTCTATTATAGATGTGTTTGTTTCCTTTTTAATAGCACTTTTTTTAAAAGCGCTATTAAATTAGGCGATACAAAATATCAATTTTGGCGTAGTGAGATGAAGAATACCGGATACCCATCACTAGGTAGAAAAATATGGGTAATGAACTCACAAGGAAAGATTACCGACTACCAGTCACTAGGTAGAAAAATATGTCGGTAACTGACCAAAAAGGATGAAGGATATTACCTAATACCTAAAACTAGGTAGAAAATAAAGGCAATATACTCAAAAGGTGAAGAAACATTATCGGATACCCGTCAATAAGTAGAAAAATATGGGTAATGAACTCACAAGGAATACCTGCTACCAGTCAATGGGCAGCTCAAATCACACAACAAACTTCTCAAATAAAGAGACAACTATTTGTTGGGGATGAAATATTAATAACTCTGTTGGAGATCTTCAAAAGAGATACGGGCAGGTTAAATCATACAACAGACTTCTCAAATAAAGAGACAACCATCTGTTGGGGATTTCATAACAAACTTCTCATGGGGACTTCTTCCACAGAGATGCCATTTGATGGAAAAGCTGGTCGAATAAGGATCTATCATTTCACAATAAACTTCTCTGTTGAGGATGAACTAGGGAAATGTCAATTATTGCGAAGATACGAATA